TCAGTCATTTGGCATTGCTTGTCCCTACTGTGCGCAGTCACCCATGCTGGAAGTTATCAGGACTAACACCTGGATTCCATTAAATTAGCCCCTGGCGGGCTGACCGATCCTTCGACCAGGCAAAACCACCCCTGAACTGCATAAGAGTCCCATCTCCCTGGCCACAGCCCACTGGGTATTCTCAGAGCAGTGTCCGAGGTGGCTGGATCCTGGATTCCCTTCAAATTCCCTGGTATAAAGCACAAACCTTCCCAACGACCGCAGTACCAGCGCAAACGCTAAGTGATATTGCATCGCCTCCATCCCCTGGCTTGTTAACGAGCGGTTTCATTTCAATGGTAAATGGGATGGATCAATTCCAAATCCCTCATCCTTGGTCTCTGCAAGCCCCCTATCTTGGGGTTAGCGTAGATGACCGGAGGAAATCTTTGTGGAAGGCCCCCTGTTAAAATCTTGGCACCATATCAGCATAATTCCCACTTTTTACTGAACATAAAGCATGGGAAAGGCCTAAGCCAGCTTGAAATCCCAAAGTTAAGGTTGAAAAAGCAAAGAAAATTTTTTTTTGGATCCAATGCCTGAAAACAGAAATGTTTCCATTCTGACATGCTGGTGTGATGCCTCATGGGAGTTGTAGTTCGGAGGCCTCGCGGGCCCATTCTCTTCCATCGACTTTTCTTGGCTGAACTTAGTGCTGTAATTATGTCCCAGTGGAGAAAGATTCACGGATCAGCTCCTGAACTCCATTGAGTGCTCTTTCTTCTAGACCACCCTGCCTCCAATACAGCAAGGTTTGACTTCCATTGCTTATGTAAATACTTCAACGTGAGCCTGCTGTAAATGTTAGCCCCAACTTTTTCTCTCACGTGCGCAAACCAGCGTGCCCGCGAATCTTTTCCATCCTTGCAGTGATTTTCCCATCCATGTGTGGAATCAAATTGTCATGTGCACCAAACCATGTGTGAATGTGCACCACCAATAGAAACCAAAACCCTAGCTCCGAGCGCTCTGCTAATCAGCTGGGCAGACTTTGAATCTCTCCTGAATGGCCGTACAACCTCACTGGTCCTACCCCTAAAGTAGCGTAATATCGGTCAAACATTAATTAGTTTAATTGAGGAGTGGATGTATTTCCTTCACATAAGTTGTATTTGTACATTACTGGTTTGAAAGTAACATCTCTATTTTCATTAGCTAAACTAATATGAAAATGAATGTTTTCAGAAGCTGACGTAAAAGCGTAAATGATTTTTCTAAGCATTATATGAATGAAATAAATGGTAGTTTCACAGTGGGTCTGATGAGGGATTGAGTCATTAGTGCCTATGCTTAAAAATTAGATCAATCTAACAACGTTGCTCATGGTGTGGAAAGTTTTTCACCCCAAGCGCTATAGTTAAGTCAACGTAAAGACTGGAGCCACTGCTAAATTGGCAGATGAACTCGTCCCTCCATCCAGGTATTGCCTCTCAAAGCACTGGATTAATGACATCTATGAAAAAAAAACCCACCTTTCAATCAATACTGGAAACAGCCATGCTATGATGTTAGCCAGAGCTATGCCACTGTAATGTAGACATATCCTCCATCTAAACTCTGTCTTCTTGTACATTACAATGCAGCCTTTAATTATGTGATCCCCTGCTATTTCTGAAATGTGGTTGCAACGCTCAGTACAAAAAGTTTTCATTGAAAACTGGCTGCATTTCAAAAATGTCAACTTTTTTGCAAAAAATTTGTCAGCGCTATCAAAATGTTCCCTTTTGGTGACATTTTCTGTGATTATATTATCATATGTGTATTCAAATCATTTTCAAAATCATCCACATTTCTGAGTTACGCAAAACCCGTGGCGGATGCCAAATGAAAATGTTCAGTAAGGGCTCTGAAAAGGAGTCAGATACAAGATTTCAGTGCTAATAATCACCAAAACGGTGCAGAACATGTCAAGTACAAAATGGAAAATGGAGCCATTCTGGACTCGATAAAAACAAAACACAATTCTGAAATAATGTCATGAAATAATTTCCTGTTTTCAACCACCTCTGCATCTCAGATCAGGCACTATTAAAACAGAATCCAGCTCTTCTATAGTGCCTCTCAGCCATCAATCTCAAAGCACTTTCCAAAAGAAGGTCAGTATCATTATCTCCTTTGGACAAATGGGGAAACTGAGGCACAGAGACACAAAGCCCAAGGTAACCTCATGGAAGAGCCAGGAACAGAACT